ACCAGCAGAAGAATCCTCCTCACTCCGTGTGTGCAACATGCCAAGGAAAGTCCTCCTCACTTTTGCTGCCAAGGGAATGGAGGTACGTCATGACCGACATGGCCCCAGATCTTCACCCCCAGAAATACACCTGAAACGTCATAAGCCAGCCAAAAACACCGTAAAAATGGGGGCCCCGTAACGTTCCACTCTCTATATGTAGCCCTTAATAGGACCCCCAATATAGACTGTTACTGGGGGGGGGGGGCAGTACCCAAGGTTTAGGGTATATATTCCCTAAATAAGGGATATTGAACTTTCTGGGGAATTACTCATAGGATCTCCTCCTCCCACAACCCCTTGAGCACCAGTTCGACGCAGGCTTTACAAGGCTTGAGGATGTCTCTAACTGTGCGGCCGCTAAGTTAAACATCGGGCTAAATGTCACTTATAGTGGGGAGAAGTATAGGTATAACTCCTATGAATTGTAGTTAGGAGATTTCTCAGCATAGTTCTGGAACTACAGGGCACCACTCTAAACCCTAAACCCTAAACCCTAAATACCCTGAACCCTAAACACCCTTAACCCTAAACCCCAGGCACCACCCTGTAGTAGCCGTGCCGCAAGGCTTCTGGCAGATTGCAGCAGGAATTGACCTGCCCAGATCGTTGTCCACACATCTTTGTCCATTGAAACCCAAAGGGTCCAGGTGAGCTACAGTCTCCACTCCTTAAAGAGGGTCATATACTGGATTACACAGGGGTAGTATTTTGCAGGCTATTAAGGGGGATATTATGAGTTTAGACTATAGCTCATGTAGGTGTATGATATGGGTGGTTATCAAAATTATGGTCCTTTTTTGGATCCCTATTATAATACGGCACGGTACCCAAAAAGGGACCATAATTTTGACAACCGCCCGTATATATGCTTAGGCCATAAAGGGGTTGCCACGAAATTACTTCAGGGCCCAATAGCTACATGGCGCTTTAGGAACTGCGACCGTTTTTGATCACCGCAAGGCGGCGAGAGCCTTGACCGCTGCGGTTACCGGCTTAGGGTTCAGGATTCAGGGTTAAGGGTGAAGGTTTAGGGTTTAGGGTGTATTACTATTACTTCGATTTTTTGGGTTGTCATTTTGAATTTAAGATGTCGAATTTAGGAATTTTGCGAACCCTAAGTAATGTTTCTATGGCCTTGAGGGCTGAGGGCTTAGGGTTTAAGGTTTTTAGGGAAACTAGTCCCCAGATCGAACTGCTGGAGAAGGCAGCCTTTCCATGGCTGGCCATCAAGGGTTTAGGGCTTTGGATTGTCCTAAGAACATTAGGATGAGGGGGACCACTAGTCTGTGCAATTTAAAGCAACCTCGTCCGACCTCACCCTAAATGGTGGTTTATATAGGGAAGTAGTTCCAATATAGCTTCAAGTTGGGAATTCAAATCATTCTCAATTACCCTGTAGTCCCAAATATTCTTTTGATTGGGACCCATGTCAGTTATAATTGCGGAAGGACATATTGACTGCAACGCATATCAGTATACGGAAGTTTTCTCAAAACAGGGCTGCCCTAGGGAGATGTGGGCAGTATAGGAAGGTCTCTATGATAGTATACTTTCCGTATTACCCTACGGGGTGCTGCCCTCTGGTTACAGAACTATACAATTCAAACCCCTAGCTATACATGATAGTTTACAGGCCTCATAACTAGCCTTTTTCATTGAAGGTTACTTACAATTTACGTAGAACCCAATGTATAACTTACAGTAGGGGTCCAACATTGTAAACCCTAAAGTTATATGGGCTCTCTGGGATGAGGAGCTACGACTGGTTAATCAGGTGCCATTGAACGTGGACGCCGGTTGCGCTGACGTGAAGAATGTCGGCTCCACAGATACCAGATGTGCCCCTAGGGTTGAGGGTTTAGGGTTTACGGTCGAGGGTTTAGTGTCTAGGGTTGATGGTGTAGGTTGTTTGCAGTTGAGGGGTGGGGTTACGGTTGAGGGGTAAGGTTTTAGGATTGAGGATTAGGATTTAGGGGGGTTAGGGTTGGGGGGTTGAGGGCCTAGGGTTGTAGGATGTGGGTTTAAGCTTGTGGGACTAGGGTGTAGGGCTGTGGGCTTAGGGTTTGGGGTGCATTTGTTCGGGGTTTAAATCCTTACCTCGAAAACCTGGTAGCCCAAAATAAGCAGCAACTGACGAAAGTGTCAAGTAGCGTGTGCTCTGACAGGGTAGTGCCCATTTCCAGTTGGCACTGCTTAGGTTTTTCTAACACACCCCAGCGCCTCCCATGCCTTGATCAAATATCTCGAGATCGTTTGTGCATGGCAGCATTTATGGCTGACTGCACAGGAAAGCTTGGCTATCTTCCCCACGAAATCCTCGTCTAGTTGAGTACATTCACTCAACGGGTTGAGCGTATACTCATCATTAGACTGTACAGCTTCGATCAAACGATCAATTACATGAATATAGCAATGCAATTTCGGGGTTAGCTTGTATCGGGCCTTATTGTTGTTGAAAGAAAGTTGAGCCAGCTCCAGGTACAAACGCAAGTAGTTTAGACCAGCTTGCGCCACCTTCATGGTTTCAGCTTTGCTCATCCACAGCCCACTATGATACAAAACCCGGAGGAACGTATTCGCATTGTGGCATGCCTTGCATACAGTTTCCAAAAACTCATTTGGGCACCGCAGGCTCTCCAGATACTTCGTTAAGAAATCTTCCAAGAACAGACACACCGCCGTGGTGTCCGCGCCCTTGAACCAAGACCTCAGCTCCGAAAATATTGATTCCCAGGAAAGTTTGACATGGGGAACCCTTAATAGCCATAAGTTATAACCCACCTATACTTATCCAAGAAATGTACCATAAATCCAAGAAACCCTGTTGGGTACTCCCAATCGGCTTTAAAGTTCAACAGATTTCTGGTCAGATTGTCCATGTGAAGTTTGGTGCCCGTTGCTTTGCAAAAGTTTTGGAGCAGCTCATACACAGCATCCAACTGGATCTCGAAGTTGCCATCCACCCCGGTCAGGTTGTAGTCGATAAGAACCACCTGAGGCAATAAAGGGTTTAGGGTTATAGGGTTCAGGGTTAGGGTTAAATATCGAGGCCATATATAACCTATATAACAGGGTTGATACGAGGATTGGGTTTATGGGTTTATGGGGTTGGATTATAGGGCTATAGAGATTATAGATGGTTTAAATGGTTCACTTAAATAACATAGGCTCATAAAATGGAAAACGATTTGGGCAAGCAACCAACGAACTTCCAGCCAGTTCTGCAAAGCACCCCTTGAGCAGCAAATGGAACAAATCAAACTTGTGCATCAGCTCCCTTGCAGGGGATGGCTGCGGTATACAGAAGAAAGGGCCCTCTTCATTCCATGGTCGCTTTGTCAAATACGTGCTGCGCCATGCAGCATCCACACTGTAGTCATTAGGAGGGTAGTGAGTCTCCCCAGCTCTGCAAAGATGACAAATGCCGCTGTTGTGGCTGGTTCTGAGCACACCTTTTTTGGAAAAGTGTCGGGTGAGCTTGCCGATTCGAATATGGATTGGCCAATCTCCTTTCAATCCAACAAACGCGATGTAGAATCTCTCAGATTTGTTGCCCACAAACAGCTCCACACCCTCATAGTACAAAGCACGTAGCTCCTCAGCAAGTGACTCGAAGATTTTGTCAAGGTAGGCGCCACCATTTCTGTTTTTCTTCTTCCGTTTCGAATACATTTTTTTCAGGCAGACAGTGACCAAAAACCGGGTGGCCACTGAGGAACCCAAAAAATTGATTCCCATGAACTCATCTGACCATGGGCAGTGGCTCGTACCTGCCCCTAGCGGGGATTGAAAATTGACCACCATGATACCTGTCTTCTTGAGGGTTTCGCCTTCGTCCGCATGGACTTGAATTGGAAGTACTCTATCCAAATGGTCATGGTGGTCCATGAACACCGGATGGGACTCATGCTGCTGTTTGTATCGCTTCCAATACTCCGGCAGAATGCTACTCGCAGATTGCTTGGGACCGCCCCAAAGAACACATAACTTGTTGTGAAGACTCAGGGTTTTCAGAAAGTCAGTCACACGCAGCATTGGATGATGAAGACCATTACCCATGTCCAACATAGCCACATGCATCGGGCAGCTTAAGCCTTCCCTGGCAAAAACCTTGCTGGCCTCACTCTCGTGGCGTGTCTTCGATTTGCGATGCAGTGAGCTGAGTAGCCCACTACTTGGAAGAAATTCAGCCATGCCTGAACCCAGTGAGTTGCATTCTTGTACGAAACCCGCTGCCAACTTGCAAACCAGCCGGTCTGAAACCTTGCAGGGAAGATGGGAAAGTAGTCTGAGGCCAGTGTATTATATAGTACAGGGGGAAAATTTCAGGCGTAGAAAATCTAAACCCTAAACTCTAAACCCTAAACCCTATAACCCTAAACCCTGAACCCTAAACCCTATAAACCCTAAAAACCCTAAAAACCCTAAACCCTAAATCTTAATTTGAAGTACTCCTGGACCCCTTCTGCACGAGCTTTCGCCAATGCCTCCGATGCGGCACCGACGCCATCTGCTTGCTGCCCACGGGCACCTGCGGCTTACAAATGTAGACCCCTGGCTTGTGTTCTATGAAGGGATTGCAAGAATGGCCGAGTGAAATGTTTGATCTATAAGCTCATCGATGTCTTCTGATCAAACGCCCCGCTCGAATTGTGCTGGCATATTGCAGCAGCACTGGGCTGAAACATGGAATCTCACATTATGAGAGATGCAGTGATAGAATCACACCTGCAACAAGGCTCATTGCCCTGTATAGGTGTTCAATCCCCAGGCTAAATAGGACTGTCCAGCTTTTTGCAAATTTCGCGGTCAAATATTTTTCTTATAGACGAATTGCGAAAGATTGATCTGCTGGACCCCTACTTTGCCTTCTTGGCCGATGGCTTTGCCTTCGGCTTGCTCTTACCCTTGCCCTTACCCTTACCCTTATCCTCTGCCTTACCCCTTCCAAAAGACTTGCGCTCATCCTCCTCCTCAGATATCTCATTGTCATCCGCCATGGTTTGTCCACGTTTGCCTTTTCCCGCTGCTGGGGCTGGCGTCTCCTTGCTTGTAGTTGGTCTGAGCACCGTCCTCAGATAAAATGAGCTATAACTTGTTCAAACCCATCACCCAAAAGAGTCGGCCAAGTAGCTTTTTGAGTTTGTTTTCTTCCAGGACCACCAAGCTACACCTCAGCCCACTCAGGATTAAAATCTTGGCACGCTACAGCGCTGTGGCGAGAAATGGAAGGCGCATGGTTAATGCTAAGTTCAGGGCAGCTTCTTGCATTCGGCAAGCTTCGATTTCAGATTCTGCCTCGCCCTTATATGAACACAATATGGGTCTACATGGAAAACTAAAAATGTATATGGCGGTGGAATTGCAACTTAGCTACTCAGCTGGCAGGGCTTCATCCGAAGCATACTGAGCCTTTATCTCAGCAAACTCATCGTGAAGGGCCATGAGTCTGTCTGCATGACCCCGAAGCTTCTGGCCAGACCTTAGTTGGGATTTAACTTCTGGGTTTAAGGTGTGTGCCTTTCTGGGTTGTTTAGCCAAGTAGCTCTTTGTCCGAAGGTTTCTTCAGCTCAGCGATCTTCAGCAACGTGCCATCAAGCTTTCCCTTGAGCTTGAGGATTTGGGCAAGGTATTCCTTCAGGTTTTCCAAGTCCTCACAAGCATTTGGAGTTATGTTGCGAGGGGAAATGAAACATGACGAAAATACTTAAAGTGTCCTCCAGGCATTCTTGAACCTCCGCCTCCTCTGCCTCATCCTCCGCTGTCTTTTTAGTTCTGGCAGCTTTGCTTGGCCTGTCATCCTTGGATTTGCTGGGCTTCCTGGTGAGCTTGGACTTCGGGCTCCTCTTTTTGAGTGAGTTCTTCATTGGGGTCTTCTCATCCTCATCCTCCTCTTCATCATCCTCCTGCCCTTCATCCCCGCTCTCGCCATCCCCCGCCCATTTGCCATCCTTGATTGGCATAGGTGATGAGCCGATGGTAGGCGCTGGAACTTCAACGTCAGCATCAACAATCTCAAACGATTGCAAGAACTCTTCCTCGCACGACTGAGTAACTGATCCTGTTGTCTCAACGTCCACCCAGAATTCCCAGACATCCTTTTCGTATTTGTCGCGCCTGGACGCATCAGCATATGTAGGCACATGCCGCATTGAAAAAATCAACAATAGATGTATGGCAATAAAATATCCCCTATATAATCCCATCCCTGCCTTGTCAATAGCTTGCGGGAGGCAGCGTCCTTCCGGCAAAACTGTTTGACTGCCTTTACGCGAGTCCTTGGCTGGCAAAAGGAGGCAAGTGATGGAGTGCAATTGCGACCAAACTAAACTAGATCAGGGTGTAAGGCAAGGGGCTTGCTGAATTTGAGTTCGTCTTTCATCCTTTGCTCCGTGTAGAATCCTGATTTGACTTCGAAGCTAGCAGTCTTCCGGTGCTTGATTATCAAGCTCATCTTTGCATTGAATGCGTCCTGAAAGCACATGTGCATGAATGTTGCAGTGGTGCGACATGTTGTTGCCAACGCCGTTCTGCAATCCCCATGAATGTGAGTACACAGTCCTCATCCCCCTGGCATGTTATCAAAGCCTTCAGCATAACTTTCCGGTGGTTCATGTTGGACCACTGGGCCGCAACTTCCTCAGGAACACGCAAGCTGCCTCTTTTGGCAGACTTCCGACACATGCGTCGCAACGTGGCTTCGTAGTTCTTGAACTCTTGCTTCGTGATCTTGATGGGAGGCTTCTTGGGTGCTTCCTTAGACATAATCATGCAATGATACTGAAGATTTCCACAAGCTGCACAAATCATATCAACCCGCCTCTTCATCGCCCGAGCGCGAGCCAGATTCCACTGAATCATCTGCGGAGTGATCTGTCTTCGGGGTTGGGGGATTCTTTCTGGTCTTGCTTTTGCCATCGCTTTTCGGGGTTCTGGGATTCCGATTCTTGCAGGACTTCCTTCCTGACCTAGGGGTTCGGGAGTTGCGCTTGGACTTCCTTCCTGACCTAGGGGTTCGGGAGTTGCGCCTGGACTTCCTCCCTGATCTGGGGGTTTTCGGGCTGCGTGTGGAGGTGCGTCCTCTCCTTCGGCTCTTGCTCCTTGCGCTCTTGGGTGAACCTCTTTTGGTCCCTGATTTCTCAGGTGTAGATTCAGGCAAGGGCTTCTCAGGTGTACCTTCAGGCAAGGGCTTCTCGAGTGGACCTTCAGGCAAGGGCTTCTCAGGTGTACCTTCGGGCACAGGCTTCTCAGGTGTGCTTTCGAGCACGGGCTTCTGAGGTGTACCTTCGGGCAAGGGCTTCTCAGGCGTATTTTGCTTGGAAGCAGCAACTGCAACATCCGCTGGTGGGGTGCAAGGTTCATTCGGGACCATCGGGCTGAAATCAATTTTTTTGCGAATATGACCTGTCAGAGGGCTCAGGCTTTTCCGGCTCTTGGAAGGCGGGGGTGACAAGGGGCTCCGAGATCGTGTTGTAGGAGGTGTCGAGGGCACAACCTCAGCTTTAAGGAAACTGGCTATGAAAAATGGTGGTCATGAGAAAACAGATGGGCCTAGGCACCTGGGTGGCTTCGACTTCGTCCTTCGGCGCTGCTGCTGGAATCATCTCCTGGAACAAGTCCCGCAGCTCGTCATCGTCCTGAGGATTTGAGGGTTTGCATTCTATACATTTATAATATACTTGCAGAATACATAATTAGCAGGTTTTACCAAAATTAATGGGCCAGAGCTAGAAGAAGGCTGTGTGGGTTACGAGATTTTACCCAATAAGCAAACCTTGACTTATATATCCAATACATATAACCACCCCATATAAAGCAAAACCTAAAAACTTTTCGCGCAATAAGGTCACTGCCCACCCCCCAATAAGCAGAGCGACTTATATGTAGAAGGTCACTGCCCACCCCCCAATAAGCAGAGCAACTTATATGTAGAAGGTCACTGCCCACCCCCCAATAAGCAGAGCAACTTATATGTAGAATGTATATATATATATAATGTACAAACGGCCTACCCCCCGGAACCGAATATTTGGGTTTGAACAATTCTTGTTCTGAATTGTGCACCCAGATTTTGACTAAGCTTCGCAGTCTGCCTCACACACAAGCTCATCTTCATCTTCATCGTCATCATCATATCCGCCTTCTGTGCCAGAGGTCAAGAGATACGGGTCATCTGAAGTCACCAGATCTGTTTCGAACTCCTTCTCCCATTGCTGCTGCTCGGTAGGTTGAGCATCTTGGGCTGTTTCTGGCACACGAAGTTCCGCTGCACGCGCAGGTGTAGCAACGGGTCTAGGGCATGGGTTTGAAACAGGAGGGTTGCTGGGGCCAGGGCTTTCTGCTGGCTTAGCCTCCCGTGCATGAGGCTTGGCTTCCGCCTTCGTTTGCTGCAAGAGCTGAGCCCTGGTCCGAAGTGACTCCAGCTTCGCTTGGGCAACCTTGACTAGATAGGATGGAGGGCTTGATTCTCAGGTTTGATGCAATAAGGGGAATAATATCCATTACTTAGCAGAGGGGCTCGCAAATCATCCTCAATGTCCTCGAAATTTTCTTGCTTCACACGTTGTTGCAAAGCCATGAGCTTCTGACCCTCGTAGAGGCTAGCACACGACCTGATATTACTTTTCAAGCGCAAAGGGGCCGCCATGGTTCAGCTAACTATCCTTGAGGGGTGCATCAGGAAGGATTGCCGACGTAGATCCAGTGCCCATTTTCAAATTACGAGGTTTTATGGCACTAGGCCTAGGTTTTATGGCACTCCACGCGAAATTATGGCACTGCAGTTTTCGGTAAATTTTTACCAAACCTTATAAATCCCAGCCAAAACCGTTGAAAATAAATGGAATATGCTTAAAACCTAATTAACTCAGAAACCATAATACACCCTGGATCTGGTATCAACAGAAATACTAACACCGTTAAAATGAGAGTATAATCCCCATGAACCTTTGGTGCGAGGTAGCCCTGAGCCCTTCCAAGCATATTGCGCACGCGAAGAATGGGTTTCAGCCAGGTTCTTGCCCAGAATATCTGCAAAGCCCTGATGTGTACAAGGCAACAGCAGTGGTCTTCTGGAATTTGGGGTAAGCTTTCCCGCTATCTAACATATGAAAAGAGTACGCAGGGCTTCACATCCTCAAGGGCCGTGCACTACGCTAGCACACAAGGCTACTCATCAGGTACCCTGAGTGACTCAGCTAGGTCCTTTACAACATTTCGCTGCTCAGCAGAAAGTCTCAGACTTTTGTTTCCGTACAAGTAGTGCAAGACTTCATCCATACGAGCATCACGCCAGAGGTCCAGTTGGAATGTGTTCATCACATAGCGGAGGATGCCTTCTTTAGATATGTCCTGAGGGGCCTTAGTTTGTCATATATCTAACATTCAACACTCAAGATTTCGCACTCCATATATTAAATCCTGGTTACCTGGGTTTCGTGGCGCCATTGTGGTGGCTCTTTTTGCATCTCCTTGAACAGCTTCGCGAATCGGTAGGCAAATCCAAATGGATATCGCCTTAGATGCAACAATGATAAAATCAGGAATCGATATGAGAGTGTGTGCATACATGGTTGAAAGGACAATTCTTGTAGGCAAGAGTCTGAGAATCCTTTAGATGCTTCTTTATGCCAGTGAATCTCTTGCGCCCATCCTTTGTTTTGTGGTACTTGGCCAAAGTCGTGCGTAAAGCTGCCTTGTCTTTCGCAGTCATGCGGGCAAACCTGCGGAAATGCAGAATGGCTTTGGAACTGGAATAAAGCAGGCTCCGCTTGGGACTGGCAGCCCCAAGGGCCCCCATCCAAAACGGCTGTTTGTATACCTTAGTTGTGGGTATAGCTGATCATGCGAGGTGGGTCAATTAGAAAAGGACACAAACCTTCTTGGGCCAAGCGACCCATGCCTTGCGGCATAAATCCATAAAGCGAGGATGCCTGTATAGGATTGAGCTCCCAGGCTGCTCCAATGTCCAATGACATTCGAGACTCATCAGCATGATACATAATATCACAAACCTGCAGACATTGGCTACAAGAGGTTCTCAGTCAAAACAAGGGTGGCGCAGACCCCGGCCTCGCAACCATCACATTCCCTTCCACCACAATTTTTTGGACTGATCACCTAGCGGTGCCAACCAATGCCGCGCACTTGTAAATCTGCTGAGCACGACCCAAGATGAACAAACGATGCCAAAATGGAACACTGATCGTTTTTTGGCCCTGATGGCGGCAAGCATGATCAACCTCGGATCCGAAGGAAGCACTCATGCAAAACCCAGACACAAAGAATCCTAATATATTGCAGCTAAGGAACGCCATACCACTGGGCTCAAGAAGGTCCAGCGGATTGTGGGTTTTCTCAGCAAAGTTCTGCCAGTAGTCAATATCCAAGGACCATATATTTCTCCCTTGAGCACGAAGAACATGCGAAAGGAGCCCACAACCGGCACAAATCTCGGCCCCATCTAGGTCCTGCCAATTTGAGCCTTAAAGCCTGGAAATCCAAAGGGCTACTGACCTCTTCTAGTCAAGCCCTCGAACAACCCCTTCCAAAAGGATGCATAAGGTATACCTTTAACTTCCCAACCCAACCCCATCTCCAAACCCCTGAATGGAACACTATATACCCTATATGAACCCTAAACCCTTATCTATATATGTGTAAACCCTATAACATATGTTATATATATAAACTGTATAAACACCCTATATACCTTAAAGACCCTAAACACTGAACCCTAAAAAACACTAAACCCTATACCCCATATCCCGACCGAGGAAAATCCACAGGAATCCTGCTTCTTCACGAGACCTTCAGTTGCAAAGAGCAGGTAGACGCACAGAATCAGAACCTGAGGCGGTTGATTTGAGGGGATTTGGGGCCATTATAGTATGTAAGGTTTAGTGGGACCAAGGGATGAGGGATTATTATAGGTGGGGCAGGATTGCTATAGTACTGAGGGCTCCCCATTCTAAAGCATTATAGTTGAAATGCCATTGGAATGTTCAATTGGTGTGCTTAATATGTTTGAGCTAGGGCACTGCTGGTGCATAGTTCGCTGCCAGACTTTGAACTACAGATGTGCCAGCCATCACACGCAGGCTGCACCGAGGAATCAAAATGGAATGCTAAGCCGCTGCAGCAACATGGGAGAACTTTTCAATATGCTTGCATGCAAGCACATGCAGTCAGACAAAATCAGGAATGCAAAGAGGCGAATATTGGGCACCTCTTCTTGTGTAGCCTCGTCGAAGTTTCCAAGCTTTGCTCATTTCGATGAGATGTACCTTCGGCAGGGCTTGTGTATAGAAATAGAAATAGGGCTCGGAGCATTGGATCAAACTGCAGGCATTGATTTTCTCGCTTGAAGAATCGCGCTTGATGCTGCCCCTCTTTCTTCTGCACACTTTGTGCAACCCCAGAACACACACATGTGATCGGAAGCAAGATGAAAAGTGCGCCCTAGGCTTCTGATAGGTGAATATCTAATCACGCTGCATGTGTTCAGCTTGGATCAAACATGTATTCGCAAGGTTCACCCTGCGAAGCAAGCAATACGTCGATTGCCAAAGAAATGCCATACCGGTGATAGCAGCATGAATCATCAGGCAGCAGCACGCTCACCGCGGGAACTGTAACCTTCATCCCTGCACGTTGTGCATCCCCAATGCGCCCAGCGACAGCGGGGGCAGCCCAAGGGGCGACCAGCTGCATTCGTTGGTCCATTGTCCCCATTGCCATCAGCACCACGCCCGCCA